TTTGCAGGTCCACGAAGAGAAGACAATGCACGGATGCTTCTTTCGAAATTTAAAAGACCTTGGTCTCTACTCTCAGTCATACTTGACTGAAATCTGCCGGCCTTCGATCCGAGACAGAAGGATTCATCGCAGCTAGTCGGGACAGTGCGATCAGTACTCTCGAGTACCGACGAACCATATTTGGGGAAGACGTAGATTCCATCTGTCGGGCGTGTGGTAGAGCACCAGAGAATCTTTCCCACCTGTTGTCTAGCTGTAAGCATCATGCGACTAATCTTTACATCAGTCGTCACGACAACGCTCTAAACGTGCTTTATCTGAGGCACGCTTATGGAATCGACAAAGATCCAACGATCCCATGGGTTCCTGCAGGAGTGGAGTCAGTGGTAGAACGTCCAAATGCTAAGATCGATTGGAATTATGCACACTCCACGACCAGACTACTCACTGCTACGAAGCCGGACATTATTTGATCAGGTTGCGAAGGAGATTTTTTTGATCGAGTTCTCCAGCCCATCTGAGGAATATCTCTCGCAAGGAGGAGGAAAAGAGATCAAAATACCAATGAACTGAAGCTTCGAGGTGAATATCCCGGCTACCGTGTGCACCTTGTCGCCCTGATAGCGGGATGTCTTGGCAGCGTGAGGAACGCGCTGATTACAGAGCTGGAGAAGATACCAGTCTGCCGGTCGAAAGCTTACTCGTCGGCCTGCTGCATGCAGAAGGCCGTCCTTCTGGGTTCCATGCAGCTCCTCCGCATCCACGGACCGAGTTCCTCTGCCGAACCACCTATCGCCATCTAGTGGGACGTGGCCAGTTCCATCTCGTGTGCCCGTTACCTTCACGTGAGGGGCCACACTAAAGCCCCGCGGGGAGGGTGCGGTCAGGATGAAAGAGGGTAATCGGTACGTTCCACCGATCACACCATGTGTTTAACAATAATAATAAATAGTTGGATTTCTCGCTTTCGTGAATCTCTCTCGAGACGAGAACGATCCGGAAGGCTTGGGACGGACGTCGATTCCGAATGGGGTCGGCGACCGGATCGCACGACGGACTCGAACGCGTCCTCGATCTTGGAGCGAGTGGACGAAAATCACCCGACGGAAGGGCGGGAAAACGGAAAGGACCCGGAGGATTCGCGGACGAATCCGTACCGCGAGTTCCGTTCCCCGGCGGAAAGGGATTGCGAAAATCCGGTCGAGACGTGCGATTCGAGGGAAGCGGAACCGTGTGGAACTCGGATCCGTTCGCACTCCGTTGCCCTCGTCGCCCCCTTCCGGGGTGAGGGAAAATCCTGGATCCCGTGGGATTCCTCCGTGAGAGACGGACGGTGCTCGGAGGGAATGCCGAGACGGTCCGACGGAACGATGCGAGAAAGGGGGAAAAGCAGGTCTTTTGGGATCCTTGGGGGATTTGCTTCCGTCGATCGGTGCCGCCAGCTTTCGGAGGACTTGCCAAGAGTGATGAAATCGCGGGACAAATGCGGTTTCCGGTGCAGGTGAATCTGAATCGCAGCAATGCCGAAATGCGAGAAGACAGGCACTCCACGCAGCTGTCATATCTATCTCTTGCCTTTCATTTCCTTCTTCTTTTCAACTGCTTTCCTCCAAATCGAGCGGGGAGGTGGGGGGGGGGGGGTGAGTACCCCTCTCCCGTTCCGTTCTCCGTGCGNAAATCGAGCGGGGAGGTGGGGGGGGGGGGTTGAGTACACCTCTCTCGTTCCGTTCTCCGTGCGTCGTTCTTGGCTTTGTCGAGAAAGAGTCGGTCGTATTTGAATGACCATGTCACATTTGAAATTCGTATGTCCAGATCTGACTTGGAAATCCTGTATTTGTCGATGGGCAGTGGCGTCGCCAGGATTTCATTGAAGGGGGCTCAAATTCCCCGAGACCCCTCACTCGCATCGTCTCGCATATGATCGAAGAGGAAAAATTTCTCAACCATTTCCATTTTTTGTTGTGCCCAGTCCTGGGTGGTGGTGGGGGTGATGAAAACGTCTTTACGAAGACACGACAGCTACAATGATAGAAGAGGTGTTCTCGCCCTTCTCCCCCCCTTCCCCCCTCCCCCCCTCCATCGACTGGGTTTGGGCCTCCCTTATCGTTTGACACAGAATCGACAATGTGTCCTCATTTTTTTTTCTAACCCTCATCCCCCTCCACCCTCTCTCTCTCTCTATCTTGTGACAGCGTCTGACTTGATTCCAGTTGTTTCTCTAAAGGGCGAGCGTGACAGCAGCGATCCGGATCTCAAGATCCGAGCGGAAATGCGTTTCCGAGCCAATCATTCGTTCCAGATAAGGACTCGTAGGAAAGGGTCGTCCTGACACGTGCCGTTCACTTTTTCTTCCCCCGATGTCAGTTGTCGATGTCACCCTTCTGCGTAGGTTATAAAAAAAAAGCCCTTAAAAATAAAACTTTAATCGATTCGATTTGGATTCGTATGGACATGCCTTATTAATATGAATATGCTCATTACATGTATTTAAAATGCATGTCCTGTCGGTCCCTTTCCCTACGTTGGGGATGGACCTCGCAGTAAGGGCTTTCAACTTACCCAATCCATATGGGAGGAGAAGGCAATGTAAAAAAAAATTAATTAAAAAATGTGTCAAAAGGAGCCCCTCCCCCCCTTTCCCCCTTTCCTCCCCCTCCCCCAACAAGGACGGTATGCCATGTTGCAGTAGGATGTGTTCCTCGGCCCTTTTTTCTCTTCGGTTCTCAGACCATCTCTATTTCGGGAAGACCTCGAGTCATTAAGTGGACGAGGGCCTGGACAGAGTGGAAATCGAAAATCGTTTTCGACGTCTTCCACGCGGGGTCTCGCTGTAGACTCTCCTTCCGGAATCTTCCCAGGAAGAAGGAATTCCAGGGGGAAGGTTTCCGTTCCCGTTCCTTGCTTTCGAGCCTCGGACGAACGGCTTCGTACGGAGACCATTTTTATGGCACGCTGTAGCAAGCGAGTCTCCCGAAGCGGAAAGAGCCTTCGAATTCTGGAGGAATCGGCTCGTCTTTGGGACGGGAAACGAAAAATAGGATCCCAAGAGAGATGGATCGAGATGCACGTCCACGCAAAAGTGCACGGTGGGATGTAAGAGACTCACCTCGCGGACGTCCATGGAATCCTAGCGACCGACTCGTATGGATGCCATCGCGAATGCGACCGAGTGTCGAGACGCGACGGACGACGGAGTCCGGCGGCTTTTTTTTCGTCCTCTCGATGAGATGCCCGAAGAAGGAATTCTCCATCGTCGACTGCCTTCGAGTATGGGAAGGGTCGGGCTCATCTCGTCTCGACGTCTTCATCATTCTTCTCGTTCTCCCTGCAGTAAATATGTGATATACCGTAGCATTCTTCCTGGTATTTGTCTCGTATAGTCCCGATTTTCTAGCAGAAATGTCCCTCTTTATTTATTTATTTATTATTATTTTTATTTTTACACAATTTTCAGATTCTTTAGAGAAATATGTTTGGAGTACGAGTTGGATCCGAATAGAAAACCCTACTTTCTTTGAAGAGTTCTCTATTCTTTTCTTTCTTCGATAACCCAACTTCTTTCGCCTGCAATACTTACAGGGATGCTGTTGACCGTTCCGAAAATAAACTCTCTTCCTGTTTATGCTTGCCTACAAATGAAGACAGAGAAGACAGAGAGGGCAAAAGAGAGAGAGAGAGAGAGAGAGAGAGAGAGAGGATATCTATTATATAACATTTCGTAGATTTCTCATTCAGTGAATCCAGAACGAGTTACTAAGATTGTCTTGTTGACCTCGTGCCCCCTCTATGAACTTTTATACTCGCCGCATGAACTGCTTATTCTGACGTGTTGGTATCTGCAAGTCGTTCACAATGATGTGAGAAATGATAACTCTAAATGAGGGCATGAATCTCGTGAATGTCAAGACATTAAGGAGATTCCAGGTTCCTCGACTTCCGTTAACCGGAGAGGAAGCCCGTTCGAATGCGTCCCATCCGCGTGCGAATCTCGTCGTCTCGTCGATCGGAGCGGAAGGAGCGGGCGTCAACGTGGAACGGCCGTGATCGTAGTAGCTCCAAGTGAAAAGAAGAGAACGCTCGAGAAGTTCGAGGTGGTGGAGCATCGTCTCGAAAGCCCTGCTGCCGCCGAACGGAAATAGAGGCTCTCGGATCGAAACCGGAGCGATCCGGGGAGACGTAACTCGCAATTACGATCGAGTGCGATGACGAACGATTTAACCGCGACGAGCGATCAAAATCCAAGGTGCTCGAGCAGTACGAGGTGACGCGAACGCGGGCATCCAAAAATATTGCATCGTTGTTGTTTTTGGTCGAGATTTCCTACGCTCTCGGTTTTTCCCGAGAGTCGGCCGATATAACGCAAAACGTCTGAGGCGGGTGCATGGATTCTCACGGAATCCCAAACACATCCGTCCCTTTCTTCCCTTCCAACGTACTTGTTTTTCACGCAGCGCAGCATATAGATCCGGGTGAGTCCGCTCTTCCCATCTCGTGCGTCTCCTTATCTCGTTCTACGGATACACGCGTTACGTAATGACTCCGTTCCGAAAGGACAGAGTTTCTGGTATGGATATGGCCCTTTCTTTTCCCTTCCGCTGCTCTAAATTCCCGCAAATCGTTTGAAATTCCATATCGTCGGAAGGCTCTTCTCGTCTTCTTCGATTCGATACGCGAAACAAGGAAGACTCTTGTGAGAGTCCGAACGGCGTGACGAAGATCGATGGGTCCGTCTCGCCGGCTGCTTCTGGTTTCCTCTTTTTCCCCGAGTGGTGTATTTTCAAAAAAAGTATTCGTGCTCTCCACATGATTTTCTTAAGATTCATCCTCCGGACGATAACCGTGAAATATTAATAAAATCATCTACCGTAAGAAAGACGGAGAAACCGACATTGCATGACCGCTCACCGTCGAACTCGTGGGGAGAAACCCGAGAAGATTTTACAGTTCGTTCATCTCTACCCCTTTTCTCTCTCTTTCCGTTCCCAGATTCTAAGTCGAAGATGACTTCCTGGACGATTCTGTTGGCGGTGGGTTTGATCCTCGGTGAGTCTGCGGGTGAACCGAGAGTCGATACGCCCCAATCGGCACCTCACGTGGCGATCGTGAACCCGATGAGATCCCAGATGATCCTCTACTCGGACTTCCCTCAAGGCTCTTGCCTCCTCTACGGGGACGAGTGAGTTCACTCGACTGGTCGCAACACGCACCCGCACCGAGAGCACGCGCCGGAATTTCACACTGGCAAATACGGGCTCACTCGTCCGATATTTCCTAACAGCATTTTTGCTCGATCGACAGAGAACAAACGGATCGATTGCATCATCCTTTGTCGACGAGACGGTCACTCGTCCCGTCCAAGTATACTCGACGAGGAGGGCGATGTTTGAGAAATAATTCAGGTCGGCCGTTCGAACCCACAAACTGACGACGGAAATGACGCGACTCGGACGAGGTCTCGAACGTGCTTGCCGTACCCGTTGCTCGGGAAAAATGCTGGACTGGGTGCGTACAATGATTTTCAAATGAATCCGTACCACCTTTAAAATGCGCCCAATGCGTCTCAGTAGGGAAAAGATTCCCTCGCCTCTTTGAAGTCACCCATTAAGTAATATGCATTGTATCAGATGGTACGAATCAATTAGAAACTCTTCGTAGTGAGTTTTTTGTGGGCCTCTCCCGAAAAGAAAGAGGCCAACAATAATCTTCCTTGATCAGAACCTCAAGACGCATGCGCAGAACCTCAAGGCTCTCAGCCTAGAGCGGGATGCCATGTCACCAGCCAGGGTTACCAGTTTCCTTCCACCCTTCGTGGCTGCGTCGTATGCTCCTCCTATCCCTCGCAGTCATTGAAAGGAGGAGGATTGAAAGGACCGAGCTTACACGGCTTGTCATCATTTTCCGGTGGCAACAGAGTACTTGAGCACCATTCATTCTTCACAGAAGCGTATTAACAATAAAATATACTCCGTCTGGTGACGGTACGAGTTGGACCTGTAACTGTTCATATTAGATATCGTGCAAATGCATGAAATCATGTTCAGCATAGACTGATGTGTGCTTCCGCATAAAAGGAATTTTGCAGCGATGCGAAGGCCAAATTGTATGATAGAAAGGTATTAAGAAGACAGATGGAAAATGTCACCTTTTCATGCGGTAGTGGAAATTATAATGGAAATTGATATGTTCAGGAATGATTAGCAAGAGCAAGTTCTAATCCATTAATATCATTTGATGTGACATAATCTTGATTGAACTCAACAGTATCTGTGGGAGTTGATTAAAGAATGCAGTTTTTGAAGGGAATAACAAAATACTTCTAGCCTAAAATCGATTCCACCGAAGTCCACCCAGAAAACTTGGCCACTCACCGTGGTTCTCTTCGTTTTCTCTGCATTAACAAATGTATAGGCAAGTGATCGAGGGGAAGATAAAAAGTCTCGGAGCAGAGCTGCAGGTGCAAGTGATGTCCGGCGAGGAGTTCCGAACCATGAAGCAAAGCTGCACTCGACACCAACTCGCTCGAATGGAACTTGGCCTTTTCGACTTCAAGCAATTTGATTTCATCTATCCCGGTAACCCCAACATTCGTCGTTCTGCATCACTTCGTAAATCTCGGAGAATTATGAGGGGAAAGATTCTGTCGTCAGATCTTCCCGACTAAGCGAATCGCTTTCAAGATGGTCTAGGAATCCAGCAACTGAAAGAATCGACTAAACTACCGACGCACACTCCCCGCATAGGTTGTGCCATCCGAGTGCTAAATGCACGGCAGTTTTCCTGGGATTCTGAGATGATGGAGACCCAAAGTTCATGGGCAGCGTTGGGAAAATTACTGTTATGGTGTAATCTGTGGCTTTAATCATATTGATTGAAAATGTTATCTGTAGTCAGCAATCGGATACTCCTGGGTTGCTATTCGGTTTAGTTCTGCTGGGTGACTCTCAAGTCAGACCTTATACAATGGTGTGGGGGGAAGTGGTATTGCCAAACTCGACACAAGGGGGAGAGGGAGGGGAGGAGGGGGGCTGGTTGAACGGAACAACTAAGCGACTCGTCGTGCGATCCCACGTGGATAGGCGATGAGATGAAGAATTCAGAGCGAGAAGTGCCAGATGAAAGGTGGTGGAGAAAATAAATAATCCTGTTTGAGTGCAAACATGGTCATTTCTTCTCTTCAGCGAATGGTTGATGAAAAGATCGATCGAAGTCAGGGATTAGCCTATCCGGATTTCTCTTCCTCTGGATCTAATCGAAGAGTTCCCAGGGGCCTTTTTCACGAAACTTCTTTAACTTTTCTTTAACTTTATTTCGGCTATATTTCGTCTTTAACTTTTCTTTATCTTTATTTCAGCTATATTTCGTCTTTAACTTTTCTTTATCTTTATTTCGGCTATATTTCGACTTTATCTCGACTCAAAATAAAGAAATAATAGACACCTTTGGAGGTCTCTCAATCTCGACTTTAACCTCTCTGAGGGCTACGGAAACCATGCCCACCTGTGTGTATTCTTGATAACATGCCCCAAGCGATGAATGTGCATTCCTCCTGCCACTTGTGGCTTACTCCTCTCCGTGTTACGTGTAACACGACCATGGCTGCAAGACTTCATCTAATTCGGAGGCAGCTTCGTCGGGAAAGAGTACTTCTCGACCGAAATAGTCCCTTGGAAGTGTACGATGATGAAGGACTCCGGAGCAGATTTAGACTCTCACGGAGCCTCATCTTGGATATCTGTGCCCTAGTCCAGGTGAAAATACAAAGGGGTACTGCCCGTTGTGGAGCACTACCAATCCAGCTTGTAGTGTGTGGCACTTCGATTCCTAGCCACAGGTTCCATCTATTCCATGCTCGGGAATGGCCAAGGCCTTTCCATTCCTACCATATTTCGGTGCATCCATTCCGTTTGAGGCCATCTCTGAAAACATAAAGAAGTTCGTTGTGCTCCCTGCATCAAGAGAAGATCTCGTCAGCCTGAAGAATGGCTTCTTGCAAGCATTCAACTTCCCAAACGTGATAGGGGCCATCGATGGGACATATGTCCCGATCGTGGCTCCAAAAGACAATGAACACGTATATGTGAATCGTAAAGGATTCCACTCCCTCAACGTTCAGACACTAGACAGCATGTC